GAAGACAAAGTATTTCAACTTGAAAAGAACATAGACAGCTCAGCAAGACTGTTAAGAAACCATGAGCAGAACATCCAAGAAATATGGGATAACAAAAAGAGACCAAACTTAAGAGTCATTGGGATACAGGAAGGGATAGAACTCCAAACCAAAGGAATGAGCAATCTATTCAATGAACTAATACGAGAAAACTTCCCAGACTTGAAGAATGAGACAGAACCCCAAATCCTAGAAGCCTACAGGACGCCGAATGTGCAAAATCATAAGAGATCCACACCTAGACACATTATAATGAAGATGCTCAACATACAGAATAAGGAGAGAATTTTAAAAGCTACAAGAGAAAGGAAGCAGATTACATTTAGGGGTAAGCCAATCAGGATAACAGCTGATCTTTCAACACAGACTCTGTAAGCTAGAAGATCCTGGAATAACATATTTCAAACACTGAAAGAAAATGGGTTCCAACCAAGAATTGTGTATCCAGTGAAATTAAGCTTCAGAATGGAAGATGAAATTAAAACCTTCCATGATAAACAAAAGTTAAAAGAATTTGCAGCTAGAAAACCATCTCTTCAAAACATCCTCGGCAAAACATTACAGGAAGAGGAAATGGAAAATAACAATGAAAACCAACAGTGGGAGGTAGGACACTAAAGGGGGGAAAATAATCAAAGAGGAAAACAAACCATGTTTAGTAACATAAATAAACAAATATGGCTGGAAGAACAACCCATATCTCAATAATAACCCTAAATGTTAATGGCTTAAACTCACCAATTAAGAGACACAGGCTAGTATAATGGATCACAAAACAAGACCCAACAATATGCTGCCTACAGGAGACACATTTGATAGGAAAAGACATACATAGGCTAAAGGTGAAAGGTTGGGAAAAATCATATCACTCATATGGACTTCGGAAACAAGCAGGAATGTCCATACTCATATCAAATAAAATAGATTTCAAGCCAAAGTTAATCAAAAGGGATAAAGAGGGACACTACATACTGCTCAAGGGAACCATACACCAACAAGACATAACAATCATAAATATATATGCCCCAAACAATGGTGCAGCTATGTTCATCAAACAAACTCTTCTCAAGTTCAAGAGTCTAATAGACCACCATACAATAATCATGGGAGACTTCAACACACCTCTCTCACCAATGGACAGATCATCCAAACAAAAGTTGAATAAGGAAACTATAGAACTCAAAAACACAATTAATAACCTAGACTTAATTGACATATATAGAATATACCACCCAACATCAAGCAGTTACACGTTTTTCTCAGCAGCACATGGATCCTTCTCAAAAATAGATCATATATTATGTCACAGGGCAACTCTTAGACAATATAAAGGAGTAGAGATAATACCATGCATCTTATCTGATCATAATGGAATGAAACTGAAAATCAACAATAAAAGAAGGAAGGAAAAATCATGCATCACTTGGAGAATGAACAATAGGTTACTGAATGATCAATGGGTTATAGAAGACATCAAGGAGGAAATTAAAAAATTCTTAGAGATAAATGAATACACAGACACAACATATCAGAATCTATGGGACACATTGAAAGCAGTTCTAAGAGGAAAATTCATTGCTTGGAGTTCATTCCTTAAAAAAAGAAAAAACCAACAAATAAATGATCTCATACTTCATCTCAAAATCCTAAAAAAGAAGAGCAAAACAACAGCAAAAGAAGTAGAAGGCAAGAAATAATGAAAATCAGAGCGGAAATTAATGAAATCGAAACAAAAGAAACAATTGAAAAAATTGACAAAACTAAAAGTTGGTTCTTTGAAAAATAAATAAAATCGACAGACCCTTAGCCATGCTAATGAAGATAAGAATAGAGAGAACTCAAATTACTAGCATACGGGATGAAAAAGGCAATATCACAACAGACACTTCAGAAATACAGAAGATAATCAGAAATTATTTTGCATCCTTATACTCCAATAAAATAGAAGATAGTGAAGGCATCGATAAATTTCTTAAGTCATATGATCTGCCCAGATTGAGTCAGGAGGATATAAACAACCTAAACAGACCAATATCAATTGAGGAAATAGAAGAAACCATCAAAAGACTACCAACTAAGAAAAGCCCAGGACCGGATGGATATACAGCAGAGTTTTACAAAACCTTTAAAGAGGAACTAATACCAATACTTTTCAAGCTACTTCAGGAAATAGAAAAAGAGGGAGAACTTCCAAATTCATTCTAAGAGGCCAACATCACCCTGATTCCTAAACCAGACAAAGACACTTCAAAGAAAGAAAACTACAGACCAATATCTCTAATGAACCTAGATGCAAAAATCCTCAATAAAATTCTGGCGAATCGGATACAAAAACATATCAAAAAAATTGTGCACCATGATCAAGTAGGATTCATCCCTGGGATGCAAGGCTGGTTCAATATACGGAAATCAATAAATGTTATTCACCACATCAATAGACTTAAAAATAAGAACCCAATGATCATCTCGATAGATGCGGAAAAAGCATTCGACAAAGTACAGCATCCCTTTATGTTCAAAACTCTAGAAAAACTAGGGATAACAGGAACATACCTCAATATTGTAAAAGCAATCTATGCTAAGCCTCAGGCTAGCATCATTCTGAATGGAGAAAAATGGAAGGCATTCCCTCTAAAATCTGGAACAAGACAGGGATGCCCTCTCTCACCACTTCTGTTCAACATAGTTCTCGAAACACTGGCCAGAGCAATTAGACAGATGAAAGAAATTAAAGGCATAAAAACAGGAAAAGAAGAACTTAAATTATCACTATTTGCAGGTGACATGATTCTATACCTATCAGACCCAAAAAGGGTCTACAAAGAAACTATTAGAGCTAATAAATGAATTCAGCAAAGTGGCAGGACATAAAATCAACATGCATAAATCAAAGGCATTCCTGTATATCAGCGACAAATCCTCTGAAATGGAAATGAGGACAACCACTCCATTCACAATATCCTCAAAAAAAAAATAAAATACTTGGGAATCAACCTAACAAAAGAGGTGAAAGACTTATACAATGAAAACTACAGAACCCTAAAGAGAGAAATAGAAGAAGATCTTAGAAGATGGAAAAATATACCGTGTTCATGGATAGGCAGAACTAACATCATCAAAATGGCGATATTACCAAAAGTTCTCTATAGGTTTAATGCAATGCCAATCAAAATCCCAACGGCATTTCTTGTAGAATTAGAGAAAGCAATCAAGAAATTCATATGGAAAAATAAAAGACCCAGAATAGCAAAAACAATGCTAAGCAGGAAGTGTGAATCAGGCGGTATAGCGATACCAGACTTCAAACTATACTACAGAGCAATAGTAACAAAAACAGCATGGTACTGGTACCAAAACAGGCGGGTGGACCAATGGTACAGAATAGAGGATACAGAAACCAATCCACAAAACTACAACTATCTTATATTTGATAAAGGGGCTAAAAGCATGCAATGGAGGAAGGATAGCATCTTCAACAAATGGTGCTGGGAAAACTGGAAACACATATGCAACAAAATGAAACTGAATCCCTTTCTCTCACCATGCACAAAAGTTAACTCAAAATGGATCAAGGAGCTTGATATCAAATCAGAGACACGCCGTCTGATAGAAGAAAAAGTTGGCTACGATCTACATACTGTGGGGTCAGGCTCCAAATTCCTCAATAGAACCCCCATAGCACAAGAGTTAATAACTAGAATCAACAAATGGGACTTACTCAAACTAAAAAGTTTTTTCTCAGCAAAAGAAACAATAAGAGAGGTAAATAGGGAGCCTACACCCTGGGAACAAATCTTTACTCCTCACACTTCAGATAGAGCCCTAATATCCAGAGTATACAAACAACTCAAAAAATTACACAATAAGATAACAAACAACCCAATCAACAAATGGGCCAAGGACCCGAACAGACACTTCTCAGAGGAGGACATACAATCAATCAACAAGTACATGAAAAAATGCTCACATCTCTAGCAGTCAGAGAAATGCAAATCAAAACCACCCTAAGATACCATCTCACTCCAGTAAGATTGGCAGCCATTATGAAGTCAAACAAAAACAAGTGCTGGCGAGGATGTGGGGAAAAGGGTACACTTGTACATTGCTGGTGGGACTGCAAATTGGTGCAGCCAATTTGGAAAGCAGTATGGAGATTTCTTGGAAAGCTGGGAATGGAACCATCATTTGACCCAGCTATTCCCCTTCTCAGTCTATTCCCTAAAGACCTAAAAAGAGCATGCTACAGGGACACTGCTACATCGATGTTCATAGCAGCACAATTCACAGTAGCAAGACTGTGGAACCAACCTAGATGCCCTTCAATAGACGAATGGATAAAAAAAATGTGGCATTTATACACAATGGCGTATTACTCTGCATTAAAAAATGACAGAATCATAGAATTTGCAGGGAAATGGATGGCATTAGAGCAGATTATGCTAAGTGAAGCTAGCCAATCCCTAAAAAACAAATGCCAAATGTCTTCTTTGATATAAGGAGAGTAACTAAGAACAGAGTAGGGAGGAAGAGCATGAGAAGAAGATTAACATTAAACAGGGATGAGAGGTGGGAGGGAAAGGGAGAGAGAAGGGAAATTGCATGGAAATGGAAGGAGACCCTCAGGGTTATACAAAATTACATACAAGAGGAAGTGAGGGGAAAGGGAAAAATAATACAAGGGGGAGAAATGAATGACAGTAGAGGGGGTAGAGAGAGAAGAGGGGAGGGGATGGGGGATAGTAGAGGATAGGAAAGTTAGCAGCATACAACAGACACTAGTATGGCAATATGTAAATCAATGGATGTGTAACTGATGCGATTCTGCAATCTGTATACGGGGTAAATATGGGAGTTCATAACCCACTTGAATCAAAGTGTGAAATATGATATATCAAGAACTATGTAATGTTTTGAACAACCAACAATAAAAATTAAAAAAAAGGTTCTACATAAATGTATATATGCACCATGTCTTTGAGTTACAGAATCGATTTGCTAATGTGACTCGTATGCTCATATCCTCTGGTTTAATGATTCCGGTAAAAATCACAACAAATTCCAGGAATATGTGTAAAATTACTGAATCTTTTCATTAGCACTGACCATTAAATATTAAATAGGGTTAGGAGGGAAACCTTTGTAAAAGACCTAAAGCATGGAGACATGCTTGATAAATGTTATGGGCTAAGAAGATTGAGTATGAAAGAAGGGATTTAAGGCTAGGGTTGTGGCTCAGTGGAAGAGTGCTTGCCTGGCATGTGAGGTTCTGGGTTCAATTCCCAGAACCTTTATTCCCTCTGAGGATTTAAATTTCAACTTCTCTGAGTTCTCATTTTGAAAATTACAAGATGAAATATTTTCTTATTTCTTAGATTTTTTTTTTCAGAAACCAGGGTGGTGGTGAATGTGTGTCTGTGTTTATGGTTTATAAACAATGCAGGTGCATATAAATACTTCTATCAATATCTAATTGTAAGGAGGGTCAGCTTTCCTGAGAGTTCCTAGAAAAGTCTAGGAAAGAGGAAAAACCCACAAATCACTTCCTTTAGACCTTTCTATGTGGATCCAGTATTTTCCTTGAAATAAATCCTCTGTAATAATAGTCCATTCAGGTCATCTCCACATGACTAGGTTTCATCTATCAATTTAGATATTTCTGATGTAGCTTATGTATTAGGTTTTAAAATTTTACTAGCTGACATCCAAACCCAAGGAATTCAAATTATAAACAAGGCAAAAAGCCTGAAAGAGAATATGTCTTAATTTGCATGCTAGCAAATGGGAATTCAGTTTTCCACTGACACCTGCCTTGAAAGAACCCAGCCTATGGCACTGAAATAATTTAGGCAATATTTTGAGCTATTTTGGAATAACAATGGTTTCCATAAGAACATCATAGACTTGTTTTTTAGTATATTCTCTATTTCCTGTTTGACCTTGGTCACAGAATATAAAGAAAGTAAGAACTTTAGTGTACATCCAGAAAAGTAGGGCTGGTAGAACTCTAGGTTAGGAGATTATAAATCACAACCAGGATATTAAGCATGGATCCTCCTCCCCCAGAGATGTGATAAAATTACTATGGAGCATCATTTCTGTCTAAGTAATGGTAGAATTTGTTCGTGTCTTTGTAGTACTGGTAGCTGCAGTGACTTGGGCAGGAGTCAAAATATCCCTTTAGCTGATGGAATTTTCACTTCTTTGGTCATCCACAGAGTTGGTTTGTTTTGGGAAAGTTAAAACACTGAAATGAAACTATGATAATTCAGGTTCATATAGTGGACACAATTAAGAATTATTTTTCTTATTGCCTGGGCAGCAATCAACCATTTTAGCACCTGGCTTGCTTCTAGCCTCAGCATATTTTATTTGCTCAAGATAGCCTTTCTCCAACCTATTTTTATTCACCTAAGGAGGAGAGAGAAGAGTGCCATTTTAGTGTCATGGTTGAGAATTTTTATGATTTTGTTTTTCATTTTCACTTTGTTAACCATAAGTGAGATCCTGCAGGTATAAGTATACAAAGAATTGTGTCCCAGAGTAGCAAATTGAGCAATACTGTATCTCTCCAATATACTCTAGCAAACTCCATACTCTGTTACATCCCTGAGCTTTTTACTCTTAGGTAATGGCCTAAAGGATGGACCAAGCCAGTAGCCTGGCAAGAAGATGTCCAGTTCTTTCAGCATTCTATTAGAACCTCTGAGGAACATGTAGGTCCATGACAAAGGGTCCTAAGCACCAAGGTCTACATGAACGCGTTGCAAGCTCTGGTCTCCATTCTCTTGTTATTTGCCATGTCTTCTCCGTCTTTAATTGTATCTGTGGGCCTTCTAATAGAATGCTGAAACACCTGGTCATCTTCTTGCCAGGCTACTGGTTTGGTCCATCCTTCAGGTCATTCATTTGTCCTGATTTTGGGAAACAAAAGCAGAAATAGACCTTTCTGTTGTTCCTGTGGCCAAGAAAAATCGAAAATCTTAAAGTCAATAACAGGGCCAAGGTGTGATTTTTAGTAGAAATCACATGGAATCAGCAACATTTTATGTTTCTTATCTTCTTTGCAGATAAGAAGTATGTGTATGATTTTGAATAATTTCTAAGCAATTTTCTAGAAAGTCGGTTACCTAAGCTAATTAAGCAAAGGTATACACATGTGAGTATGTTTCTGTGCATGTGTGGAAAATGAGAAAGATTCACTATAACATACAATCATTGTTTTTTGATGTAAACAACCTAATTATACAAAGCAAGGTAGGACATTTTCCAGATATATTTATGATCAGTAGTGTAAAAGCATTTGGTTATCTCAGGAAATGAATACTATTTTCCCTTGTTCTTTATACCTTACTTAAGTGGCATAGTATGTTTAGATTTCTTCATTTTTGAATTTCTAACATTTTGGATTGCAAGGACATTCAATCCCCCTTGCCCCCATACTAGGGGTTGAACCCAGGCCCTCACTCTTACTAGGCAAGTGCTCTATGACTGAGTTATATCCCCAGCTATGAATGTTCAATTTTAATCAATGTAGAGCAGTTGGTGGTGCTTGCCTGAAATCCCAGCACCTCGGGAGATGAAGGGGAAGTATTTTAATTTCCAGGCCAGCCAGCCTTAGCAACCTAATTAGACCTGTCTCAAAATGAAAAATAAAGAAAGACTGTTAGAGTCTGTAAACAAGTCTGGATGGCGCCTGGCATTTTGCCAGAGGGAGTGGTTTGTGAAGTAACGCCAGCTAGCCATTAAGTGTGGAGATTCCTTATTGGTTGACTGCTGTATCTATTTTATGTTAATTAAGATAAGCTGTGTGGAATGTATAAATACCACTCCTGTCCTACAATAAACGGCTCCCACTCCTGGTGTATCAATGTACACAAGTTGTTCGTCAACCCCTGGTTAGTTTGCTGCAGCCGGACTGCAGCAAAAGACTTAGGGATATAGATGAGGGATAGAGTGCCCTCCTGGGTTCAACCCCAGTATTTCAAAGAAAAATATTGTCAAAGCTTATATCAAAGATGCATGTTTGAAATAGATCTTATGTCATTATGAATTCTTATGTCATGCTTAATAAAGAATAACCAGAATTGTTGGAATAAAACATGCACACAATAAAAACAAATACAGTGTAAATGTAGTATGTGACTACCATAAATAGTACTGAAAAATAATAGATGGAAAGATTAGAAAAGGCTAATGTCTATAATAAGGATGGATGAAAAAGGGAGAACTGTGGTCATGATCTGATTTTAAAATATTTCCATTTTTCCTAAAACACCTCTGTGCTTTTTGAATTCCCCCAATTATCATTCATCTTCCATTCTTAAATACCCTTTAAATTATGATGTGAGTTTTCTAATATTTCTGATATTAAGAAAAGATGCCGTACAAAAAATAGTATAGAAATCTTCTTACATAATTCAGTGAATATTTCTGCAACCATTAAAATTGCACCTATAAAATCCACATAATAATTGCAGGGAATTTCCCATATACCTGTTTTATTATTATCTGGTGTAAATGTGGAAGTGAGAGAAATGTGTTGATGTTATAATTATTTACAAGTTCAATTATAAGATGGAAATGTGTGGCCTTGAATACTAATTAAATTCTGCATGACTACATTAATTCTTGGTATTATGAAATTTTAGTAATGTCTTAGGATAGATCAAGTCCACATCTGATTTATTTATTTGTGTAGTTATCGTGTATCCCCAGTATAGTATAAGCTCTAAATAAGCTGAGGTCATATCTATCTTTTTTGCTGTCTTCTTCTAACATCTTGATTTTAGCACAAAGAACATTTGGTGAAAATAATATTTTATTAGTAAATGCAACAATGAAGTATATTAGGACCAGCAAACCAATGAAAATGAAGTCCACCATCAAATCTGCAGGTTACACAGATTTCTTGGTTTTGGTTCCACATTGAGGTTACAGGCTTACCCAAATAGAAGCATTTCTCAGAGCAAAAGGATGGCTGTTCCACAATTCCAGGGAAAATATCAATGGGGCTGGAGTTGTGGCTCAGTGGTAGAGCCCTTGCCTAGCATGTGTGAGGCACTGAGTTGGATCCTCAGTACCACATACAAATAAATAAATAAATAAATAAATAAATAAATAAATAAATAAATAAAAGGTCCATCATATATATATATATATATATATATATATATATATATATATATATATATATATCTCCACAACCTAATTAAAAAAAAGAATATAGCCTTGATTCAACTATATCAAGAGAGTGAAGTAGAGAGAGTTGGAACACCAAAAGCAGAAGGCATTTGCCACAATACAGTATTAAAAAATAATAAGTATAACAGGCTTTTAAAATTTACATATGTATTTTTATTATGAATGATAGATTATTATTATTTTCTAGCTGGCTATTTTATACACAAAAGTGTCAATTTGGCTTTTTGAAATTTAGCTAGTAACCAACTTCTCTCCTAAAATATTAGTTTAGTGTAATATTTTTCCAACATCTTTTCTTTTCTTTTTAAAAAATATTTTTAGTTGTAGATGAACACAATACCTTTATTTTATTTATTTATTTTTATACGGTGCTGAGGATCAAACCCTGTGCTTCACAGGTGCTAGGCAAGCGCTTTACCTATGAGCTACAGCCCCAGCCCCCACATATTTTGTAAATAAACTTTAAAAATTGCCATATTATAAATTCACAGAGAAGTGAACAAATAATAATCATGCAATTCAATGCATGTTTTAGCTTGGGCTTTTAAAATCTGAGTCATTCCTGAGATAGAGTGATTGTGTTTATCTGAGAAAGCAAATCAATGCAGAAGTGTGGAGGGCACGTGGAAAAGGCAAAGGAAGACGTGAAGCAAGGTGATGTGACGTGGTTCTACTGGTGTACTACAATAAGCTAAGAAAACCAGGGCTCAGCATGTGTAGGAACTTTTCTAGGAAAGTTCAGGGGGAACCAGATTGAACATTAGTCCATGAAAGAGAGGAGTGACTATTCATGTCAACTCTTCTCTCTTCGAATCCTTTGGTCAGAGTTTACCCAAGGGGGAATTTATTAAAAGAAACTTTTATTATACTGCCCCCTAGTGGCCATTTACAGAGTAAGATCTTAGGCTCATAGAATGGAATTCTGCTACAGTACAAAATAGAAGGATAACCTGGACCACACAAGATGTTGACCAAGAGAATAGGAGATAGGAAATCTAAGGATATACACAAATTTGTATTCCACACAGTCCACCTCTTGGAAAATCAGGTGCTCATTCCCTCCTACAGTAAATGACTTTGTAAATGTATGACTTTTGTAGTTGTTGAGGGCCCTGTGCTTAGAGGGACCTTATGTTTGTTTTAACCATCTGCTCTTACCATTTTATTTCTCAGACACAGTGTACCCCTTTGCTGAAGAGGGGATGGCCTCATCCTAATTCAGTAGGCATTCAGTCACCCCTTTTCCTATGAGTTGTGTCAGAGACATACATAGCATCCTTGCCCCCTACAGACACTTCTATTAGCTTTGAACTGCAGAATCATCTTGCAAAGCAATGGTCAGAGCATTTTGGACGCTGGTCTACACTGGATATACAGCTGTCTTGAAAGCAGCAACTTTTAGGGAAACTCCATAAATGGTTCAGTGCAATATCCTCAAATGTAGTATACCTGGCTCCAAAGCACAACACGTATTATGGGACGTTTTTAGTAATAGGAAATAGAAGATAGCACAACATGCCATTTACTTTAGTAAGGATGTTTGCACAAGTAGATCAGACCACTGGACCCCTTAAACAACATTGAAGGTGGAGGTCCCTAAATCCTCTCTTACTTCTCTCTCCTTATAGTGCTTTTCTCTTCTGTACTGTTATGATATTTTACAGTATTTCAGGAAATTCCCACTTCCTGCTTATAGGTACTAATTAGTAGAACATCACTAATATGTTATGTTTAATGAACATAATGTTTGAAAAATGTAAATGAAACTGGGAGAAGAAGAGATGTAATTCTGACATACCTCTGCAAGGTGTGCTATAACAACATTATAAACAAATGTTAGATTGTTTGATTTTCCCCAAAATGGCTATAGATGGAAAATTATTCACCAAATCAATAGCCCGAAATGAAGCATCACAGGCAATTTTCTGCTCAGTTAAGATTCTTCTCTGATTGCCTCTGGCTATGGCACAGTCAGTAGAGGTTAATTAAATAGTGACATGAGAAGGAACATGGCTCCTGTGATTTACAGTGTTTTTATGGTGGCAGAAATTAATTTCATTCCCTAGAGAATGCAGTTATATTGTCTAACAGTAAGGAAGAATTTCAGAGGCTTCCCCATGTTCCTTTTACAACAATGTCCCTTACATGTCCCTGTAGTAAGGGTCATGGAGCAGATGTTGGTGTGAGGTGAGGGCAGGTGGCTATTCTGAAGGTCTCTGGTGCTGTGGAGGAATGGTTCCTACCGGGCAAGGAAAAGACAAAAAATGAGGAGTATTCTTGTTTCTTGGATGAACTCATTCACTGCAGTGACTGCTTTAGGGGACCAGAGAGATTTCCATTGCTTTTCATATGTGCAGGTTATTAGTCCCAAAAATTACATTAATACTGCAAAAATTATACTTGAAACATTTTTATCTCAACATCTATCATAGTACTATACATGAGTCACATGCATAATAAATGTTGAGTAAATGAAATGCTGAATTATTGAAGTGGATAATAACCAGGATTTGGATCCAAATAGTGTTTATATGTGAATTGTATGTGTGTGTGTGTGTGTGTATGTGTGTGTGTGTTATACATGACCTTGTACAAAGTAAAATAATAAAGAACTGAATATTTGAGGGATAACAATCTCCATGAGATC